CTATTACAATTATTTTCTTTCTAAATACACTAAAACCCCACAACTTGCCTTACATTCTCTTTACCCCTACCTGTCTATCTTCCACTCTGACTGCCTTTAGGCGATCCCTTAAGACTCATCTCTTCAGGGAAGCCTATCCCACCTCAACCTAACCACTCAACCATCACTTTCTCAAACAATTCATCCCCACACAGCTACCTCCTCATGTATCACTTCCCCTCCCTTTTAGATTGTAAGCTCTAAGGGGCAGGGCCCTCCTTACCATCTTGTCTTGAATTGTATTGTAATTGTAATGTCTTCCTTATATTGTAAAGCGCTGCACACACTGTTGCTGCTATATAAATCCTGTATAATCATAATAATAATACATTCCATCCTCCCAGAATCACTCAAGAGTGTGAAACAATCGACCATGCGTTTCTTTTTCATTGCAGCTCAACAAGTGATTCCCTCACATTGGAAGTCTAGTTCTGGCCCTTTTTGTGGTGGTGGTTGAAGGCCCTTAACCTCCATGGCGGTATTCCCGAGTGTAGCTCAGGGTTACTTTTCCATACCATAAGCGGTAACCCCGAGCTACACTCTGGAAAGCCGCATAGCATTTACTTATCTTGTCCCTCGAGCTATGTTCTGCGGCTGATGCCGGCTTCCGTCCCTTGCGAGCGTACGCGTCGCAGGGGGGCGGAACCGGCGGGATATTTAAAAAAAAACAGAGGAAAAAAAAAATAGAACGAAAAATAACATCAAAAAAATTAAAAATCATACCGCCAGGGAGGTTAATGACATCATGTGGATAGAAGAAATGCTAGCCTTTGATATGGACAAAATGGCCACTTTTCAAAATATTTGGTCAGCTTGGATTGTGCATAAAGATTCTCCTAAATTTGCAATGCTCTTTATCTAATCTATCCTATTTGCACACATGTGGAACCATGTCCTAGTCTTCTCCCCTCCCTCCTACTCCCTACCTTTCCTTTATGCCTTTCCAGGTCTCTCCTTCCTTTCTTTCCTTGTTTCTTTTCTTATTCTGTTATTTTTCTTGTTCTTATTTCCCTGTATTTAAGCCATGAGCTATCACAATGGCCTTATCTACCTACTTAGATGTCTCCACTACCTTACACATGGTGTGACACGTTTGATAATTGGCATCCTTGTTTATATATGGCACTGTGATTGAACTATGAATCATTTTGTTTCTTTCTTTCTGTTTGAAATTCCTGAAGCGTAGCTCCCTTTGTTGTACTCTTTTGGTAAGAAAATGTATAAATACTGATTTGAAAGATAATAAAAGTTTTATGGTGAAGTTGAGCAGAGTGCAATTTAGTGTGAAGTCGGTAAGCATGGTCAGGCTTATAAATCGGCACGAGTCGTGCTCCCAGCTTCAGACTGGCATGAGGATTTGAGCGGTGTTGTGCATGGCAGTACTACGAGGATCGATCAAGAGATAACTCACCTGCTCCTACAGCGCCACTCCATCTCTGGCCAAAACACTACAAAGTCTTGCTCACCGAGGAGCAGCGACAGAGTGGCACCTCGCTAGTTTGGCCAGAGGGGGAGCAGTGCTGTAGAAGTAGCTGAGTGTCCTTGCTGCTGAGACGTCGCCTGCAAGAGGATCACAAGACATCGGCCTAATAATTCAGCAGCTGGATCATACAAAACCCAGCTGATGAGCAATCCTTTGTGCTGGGTGGTCCTGGATGTTTTGTGCGTATGGAGGAAAAAGCAATAGGAGAGGAAATATTGCGACTCTTCCCATTAAAAAAGCATGGGCAGTGATATCTACTATGGTTTGGTAGGCCTACACTCAATGGGCTGTCCCTCCTCCAGCCATATAAAGGTTGGATTTGATGATGTTCTCTGATGTCTACAAAGAGAAAGCTGGCAACACACCAAGAGAACATATTTTTAAAACGTTGCTTATTTAAAAATGAAGTTTATTTAAAAGGGAACCTGTTTGAGAATTATGAATATGAAAACGGTGATTGCTGACTTGTTCTCAAGGGTGCAGGTTCAGATTCTGCATATTGTTTCCAGATAAGTGACCTACTGGGTAGTGAAGCAAAGAAAAGGATGTCAACCCAGGAGCAAGTCAGCTATCAAATTTCCATCCTGGCAGGTTCCCCTTAAGGCACACGTCACACTTGTGATCCTACTGCTGGTGAGAATTTGCCAGTGGCAGAATCACTATGGATTACACATACAGGGCGGTCAACACTTACAGCTTGCATGTGTTGCTCCCTTGCCAGCTGGGTGAGCAAGATGTCATTCTCTTGTTGGTGACTTACATTCTGCAGCATTTTTGGCAGAAAGTGAGCAATGTCTCGCTGATCCAGATGGAGCAGGTGCACAACATACAAAGCGGGTGAGTGTTCACCCTGCAAATTTAGCGATCCTGTCGCTGATGAGTTCTCGCAGCAATATGATGGGAAGTGTGACATGGGCCTACGGCAAAACAGCTTGTAGTAATGCAGAGCAACCACTCAGATATCATCTTTTTTATTGCTTTAAACTAATATTTAACTAACTGCTACGAAGCCTGGATTTGCTGGAAAATGCTCCCAGGCTGTGGCCTACAGGCAGTCAAACTGCCTCTTCTCAGTTGTCTTGTTCAAGTTCGCTAGAATTGAACCTTTATACACTGAAGGGGAAGGCACAAACTTTTTCAATGACAGGACAAATGGCACAACACTGAATTCTGTCCCTGATGAAAATAGGATCCCCTGATGTGTGAGGTGTTTAAAGGGTAATTCTAAAAATAACTAAGGGCTGGTGCACACGTAGGCGACACCTCACTGCGCGGTCAGGAGTCGCCAAGGTGTGAACTGATTGCGCTGTGGGTGCCATTATTTTCGAATGGCACCCCAGTTGCGACGGGCCCATGCTTCCGAACGCTAAAACAGCCGCGTTTTGCAAAAAAAAGGTACATGTTCCGTTTTTTCTGCAATTGCCGTGCGGATGTCACCCCATTGAAATCAATGGGACCGCGCAGCAATCGCTGCCTGCATTGTGCAGGACCGCGCGATCCCGGGCCTAAACGAAAAGAAGTGGTGTAAAAAAAGCACTTGTGGGTTAAATCAATCTTTTTTTTTTAAATAATTAATTAATTATTAATGTCAGCTAAAAGGAGGCCTCTCAGGGGTGTGTTCTTTGCATGTATACTGTGGACTAAAAGGTGCCCCTCTTTCCCATCTCAGAAAATTGGGAGGTATAAAAATCCTCCAGTTATCTTCTACCTAGATATTTTACCATGTTCTTCTGTTATTGTTTTTCTGGCTGCCTTATAAAAGTCCATAGCCTGCCAACCCTCCCGAGGCTATTTGTATGTCCATAGTAATGGCCATTATTGGCTTTTGGGAAGAATTCTAGTACTGGAGCAGTGCAGAGGTATTGAGTATGATATAGCTACTGCAGGACTAGTATGAACTCGGTATGGAAAGTGCAACTTATGTTGAGCAAAGTCATTGACTAGAGAGACATTTAAAGGAGTAAAGTTCCAGCATATCCTCTCCTGTAATAACATCAGCATTGTAATAGGAATACATACTAGAGTTGTTTTTTATACTGCAATCAAAGCTTACTTGAAAAAATCCCTTTTAGGTAGTGAGTGCTGCCTTCCGTCTGCCCATCACTCTCATCAACTTCCTGGGTTCCCAGTGTGCTTTGCATCTCTTTTCCTGGTGTTTGATGTGATGCAATCTCAGTTTCTCAAGACTACATATCCCACCATGCATTGTTTCCAGCAAGCAATGACAATGTTAAAATGTTCAGACATTGAGTTTTAGTTCAGAAGGTAGGCTTTGTGAGAGGTGACACAAGGAAATTCATATTCACAAAGCTGAGTGAAATGGTGTCAGTGCATTGAGGAAGTACATCCTATGGGCATCTTCAATAAGTAAGTTTACAAACTTCTACATAGATATGATTATTAGGAGTGGGATAGAGCTTATGGAAGTTCAATATAGAAATACAGATCTAATGCTGAACTCCAGATAGACAGCTTAATACACAGCTAAAAATACATATATGAGAGTTGTTACCTACAAAAAGATCTGGATCTGTATTTCTGGATCTGTATTTCTAATCATTCATTCCTGAGATTTCCACAGCTCTGACAGACAGCAGTTCATATTCCTCTTCCTTTGATTAATCAGTATGAGGGACAGCTCAGACCTTGGCATCCTGGTGTGTTGTGTTAGGCCTTTTTTTCCATGTTATTGTGCATTGCAAGACAGAACTTTGCAAAACCTCGGGCACAAGGTTTATTAACCCTTGCAGTGGTGCTACTACTGCACTGCTAGGGTTAACTGCTCGCTTTTGTGTAGGCTAAAACATTTTTATACTCCCCTGATCCTTGGAGACGGCCAGCTCTCCCTTCCACCTCCGCTGCAGTGGTCTAAGGTCCCTGAGTCATCACGTTCTATGACCAGGTATTAGATGAGTATAACGTTTTTGAAAACCTAGGACAAAAACGAGCAGTTAACCCTTGCAGTGCAGGGGTAGCCTCACTGCAAGGGTTAATAACAATTTGTGCCCAGAGTTCTGCTTTAAATAAATGGGCTGGCAATGCAGCAAGTCAACAAAAACCACGCAGGCATCATTTTTGACAGCGCACCACAATGCACGGTAGTAGGTTACAATGTGTTGTGGTGCGCTGTTATGCATGTGTGTTGCTGCTGCATCCCCGTAGTGTGTTGAGTTGCCTTTTAACAGGCATGCTAATGCATGTAACGTGTATAAAAATGTCATATGACAAAAAACCTCAATAAATGAAGCTTTTGCTATCTTAAAAGGACTGGTGTGCTGGTGACATTTCTACAATTTTGTGTATAGAAATGTAGCACGCCAGCCCCAGAAAGGTGTGACTGGGCCCTAAAGGTTTACAAAGTGTCTGCAGACATTGCACTTATCCCATTAGGTGGTGTCCAGATCCCACAGTAATAGGCTTGTGACACAAGGAGCCGTTAGAAGACATTGTGCGGCGATTTATCATTACAGACATTTACCTCTGGGATGTTAGCCGATTTCAAATGGTATCCAAACACGAGTTCTAAGTTCACAATCTTTTCTTCCTCTTCGTTCTCTATAGCCAGATCCTGCAGCACAGATGGAGTCATTTGTGTCACTTCTATTGTGCAGCTTTTTTTAGCTTTACAGACAACATTCAGGAGTTTATCACAGCCAACAGCTGAAATGTTTCTTTAACAACTATTTTCAGTCTGGCGGGTTGACATCACTGCTGAGGATAGTTGCCTCCCACACAATTAAATCATGGGAACAATGCTCTACCCTTAATGTATCTCAAAGCCCAGATTCCGGGAAATAAAACAGGTGCATTCGTGGAGTCAGTTTGTCCAAAAATACTCCCCCAAGATGCGTTGTATGAGAGCGCAATTTCAACTGCACTACAATTACCACTTCCATTGGGGAGCCGCGGATCGATTTTGGGAGTATTTAACAAATGATACTTTTTCAGTGTTTTTATTTATCTGTAGAATGCGAGACAATTTCTGTTTTGCCAAAAACTGGCAATTAGGGGGCTGTTGCTTGGCCTATCATGTCTTTGTGACTTACAGTACCTTTGTATATGCTTTAAGCAGAACTCGGGGGGGGGACAATTCTTAACCCTACCTCCGCACTGCAAGGGTTAAGCACTTGTTTTTCTCTAGGTCCAAAAATAATAATAAATATATATATATATATAAATAATAATATAATAAGTTATACTCACCTGATCCTCGGGGACGGCTTGCTCATAGACCAGTCCCTTACGCCTGTCTCCTCCTCTGCTGCAACGATGGTATGTCCTCACGTCCCATACACTCTAGAATGTGATGATTCAGGGACCTTAGACCACTGCAGCATGGGGAAGCGAGGCATAAATGACCGGTCTAAAAGCATGCACCTCTGAGGATCATGTGAGTATAACTTTGTTATTTTGGAACCTAAACAAAAACAAGCACTTACCCCTTGCAGTGCAGGGGTAGCCCCACTGCAAGGGTTAAGACAGATTTCCCCTGGAGTTCTGCTGTAAAGCTGAACCCTGGGATAAGCAATATTGTCTAAATACAAGAGGCAGGTGTGCTGTATTGTTATTAAAACTTGCTGTGCTGTGTGTATTCCTTCAAGATCTGTGCAGTGTGAAATGTTGTCTTTGTGCAGGAACTTGTTGTTATAAAGACCGGTCACTGCTGCTCTCTCTCCTTGTGCAGTGTGACTGGTCTTGTCTCCGCCCCTCCTGTAGTTTTCTGCAGGCAGCTTGTAGTGGGTGGGGCCTGGCACCTCCCATATCATTTTGTGGCTATTAGGGAATATATTATGTTTGTACAGAATAGGGAATAGTCAAACTTTTTTTGTCTTCTGTGCTCCGATAAGTAGAGACAACATGAAGTCAGAGGAAACTTCTAGACAGTTGTCAGATTTCCCCATTTGAAGATCTACTCTCCATTTCTCTTCTGGTGACGTTGAACACAGGGAGTCACTCGCTCACTACCTCCTCCATTCAGAATATGCATTATATTCTTTTCAATGAATTCAAGGCATCCTCTAATTAGAAGAATGTAGATTATGACATCAGCGACCCTTCTTTTAACCCCATCCAATCAGAAAATGCCTTACATTCATTGAAAAGTAATTGCTGTGTTCTCCTTCTTAGAATGCATATTGCCTGGCTGTAATACTCAATACACTCAGCCACTCACACACAACAAGTATGCAGATACAGACTTCTGACTTTTCTGATCTGCATACAGTATATGTTCTGGGTCAGCAACTAATAAAGTATCAACGGTAGACACAGCAAGGCAACCAGCATTTTCACAGCTTGATCTGCAATGGCAACCCGCTATAGTTCTCTTTTAAACTCTTCTATTAGGGATACACCGAAATTTCGGCCAACAAAACATTTTGGCCAAAAATTGTTCTATCGGCAAAATGCCAAAAGTACCATAACAGCCGAATATGCGGTGCACCCCTAGCTCCACTCCTCCCCGCTGGGCACCAGTCTGTGTCCCTCTGACCCTTCCCGCTCTCCCCCCACCTGTGTCGGCATGAGGCAGTGGGGATCCAAGGGGACACAGAGCCAATCCAGCTGCCGGTGCCCAGCAAGGAGGAGAGAAGCTGTCAGGAGGCGGAGCGGGGAGGTGTCTGGAGGAGACAGCTGTCAGCTGTCACAGGAGGCCGAGCTCTCCTCGCACCTCCCCATTCGGCCAACAGTGACTGGCGGAGCAGTCATGATGGGAAGCAGAGCACAAACATTCAGCAATCAGTACTGAATGCTGAGTGTTTGTAAGCGTCCTGTGTCCCCAGTTATGAATGAACAGGAAGTGCTCAACATCACTTCTTGTTCATTCGTGATTGTGGACATAGTAACATAGCTTAGTATAGAGGCTTCCTGTTCATTCATAACAGGGGCTGCAGAAGAAGAGATTGAGGACTCTCTTTTTCTATTTTAAAAGGGAAATATCATGTCAGGGGTCTTAATATCATTTAGACCCCTGACATTTCCCCAAAGCCCCAACAATAAAATAAAAAATAATCAAACATAAAACAAACCCCTCCTCTACACACCACTGCTAAACCCATTACTTCTAAACCGAATATCACTGTACACAGAGCTAAACATGTACTTATGCAATACTTACTTTTGTTAGTGGTGGGAAATGAAAAAGGTTCAGATAATCGTGAGTTAATCTTTCAATTGCTGTCTGTAAAGCAAAAGATTGATGAGTGAGATAAACATGGCAAAGTCCAACAAGATTCTTATCCTGGTAATATCGCTGAGGACCCCATTTATAATGGAGAGTGGATAGCGCACTGTTTACAGGCCATTCATAAAATGCAAACAACAGTGTGGAGTCTGTGTCCAGTGTTTACAGCTGTTGTATTCATATGGAAGTCTATGAAGAACTGCAAAGGGTCATGACTGGAAAGGGGTCAGAGTTCACTCTCACAAACATCTAAACTGTCATAGAAAAATGAATATGTATCCAAAATATTCTGACAAATCTTTGACACACTGGCATTCATTTTTTGTGTTTTTATGCATTTTTGTCACCAACTTTTTTTTCTGTCACTTTCCAAAAATGAAAAAACAAAACAAGTGTGTAACACGTAGATAAGCACTTCTCTGAGTTTTACAAACATTTTCATTGGAATGGGGGGAAGGTCAAAAACCCCTGAAAAGTGAAGCGGGTCACATTTTCATACAACACAGCACACTGCTGAGCTCCACAGGGCCATTTGAAGATAACCGTGTGATTGGGTAAAATGCATCAGTGTGTTGGACCTTGCGTGGGACACCAGTGATGTGGTACCAGCTTCAATAAACCATCCTAGCGGAATCTGGTGTGCGGCCAGCTTTTCTTCTGTTTATATGGGCTCACATAGGAAAGGGGATGTGATCCCAGCAGCAAGCACCCAGCTCATCCTTTTCCTGAGCCATTGAGGAGCATTGTTTCTTTTGTGTGCTCTCCTTCCATAGCAATCCATGTTACATGTGTTGGTGAGATGCAGTGCTATTTCTTCTGAATTGCACCCCAACTCAGCTTACCAAAGAACGAGCAGCTACCAACTAATGCAATTTTCAATGCAGTGCCAAAAATGGTGCACATTCATTCACAGGGAGTTCTCATTGTGGGTACTCCCTCTCAGGAGAGACCCGTTTTGGGAAGAGCTGCCAGAACCGAGCCATTAGGCCAAATTATTGCTCCTATTCGACTAGAGGAAGTTTGTGGTCTAACGCCTCACCCTCACTCACTCTTGGAGTTTTTGGTTGTTGTTGTCAGTGTCATGGCAAGGTAGATTCACCCTCTAGATTTTACCAGGTGATCACTATCAACAGAACAAAAAGTGAAAGTAAATCCAAAATTTTGTTCCCAGAACAGAGGGTGAGGGGAAATCTCCAAATGATGGCACCTTTTCTTAAGTCAACTGTCTAGGAGGGGAATGCTCATCACTTTATGGAGATTTCCTGTAGTGCTTCCTGGACAGGAATCGGCCCAAAATCTCCCCAATGTAACACAGGAAGGGAAAAAAATAACCTGGCAGGTTTTTTAAATCCTTCCCTATTCTGTCTCCATCTAGCAAAAAAAAGTTTTGGCAATACATATAATTTAACAGAGAGTGGTTCCTTTTGGCTATCTATAAGGTTATCATATCTATAAGGATATAGTCTAAATCCTGCAAAATACATGATAAATACATTTATTGAATTATCCTATATAATTTATGGAACACGCACAGGATTACCAGTTGGATCAGCATTCAGATAGGAGGTTTCTATCTTCAATACAGACCCATAGTACTAATTCTCTCTTACAGTCTGTGACCACATATAAGTGTTCATTTTGCTGTGTACATATACTGTTTTAGCACATGTCTTTTCTGTTGCATACCTTTAGATGAATGATATGTCCTTTGGAGACAATGCCCATATCTTTGAGGTCACTTTCCTCCAGAAGGAGCAGTCTCTTTCCTGTAATGTGATGTTCCTTGAACAGGGTGGCATACACACTCTGCAATGCCGAGTTGTCATCTGCAACCAAAAGCAAAAATTGCATGATATGGTAACCCTTACCATAATAAAGAAGACCCACCAAACAGTGATGGAACTTACCTGTCTTTAGTAACTGTTGCATCCAGAACAACTGTGAAAAATTGATATCATTTCAGGTTATATATATAAAAAACGCACATATAAATACCAATAATTTAGCTTATCATGGGCTCAGGGTCAATCGGGACAAAGTTTGGTCAGACAAATTAAATAGACGCTCTGGGAGGTTGATAGCCTAAAACTGAAGTTCAGCGTGCTTATAATCTGCCATTCCTGGTTTCTCCCCCCCATCAACATGCTAATGACATTTTGCAGGGTGTTATACATTGCTCAGTGAACCCATCTCAGCACCCTGCCCCAATACTCCTCTCTACTCAGCCCAAATATAAGCAGTGGGCTGACTCTTGGGAGGGATCATGCAAATGTCAAAGTGCCTTAATAGGTGGATGTCAGTCTGGAGGAGTGGGTGTTGCTAAGTAGACATTTGCATTCAGATTGCTCTAGAAAACAGCCACGTGTGATGCTGAGACTCAATGATACGGTAGAAAGAACTGAAATCAAATGAGTGAAAGGGGCAAACCAGGGACAGTTTAGCCGTGGAGGAATAGGCTAGATCATGCTTGACATCCTCCAGCCAGGAACTCAGTAGGGCTCTGCTTGACTTACTGCAGCTTCTACTGCATATTGTGTTATTTTGACGTGCGGTGATGAAGAGGTTGCACAGTCAATATCCCGCTGGATTGAAGTCTGGGGGCAAGGGGACTACAACTAAAGTGGAACTCCAGGAAAACAGATAAATACATGGCTAGGTCAGAAACAGCCAAAAATCCTAAGGTGCTCATACAAATTCTGACATAAGCTTAAAGACTTAAACCTCCACTTATCTAACCTGGGTACAAAATAGTAGCTGCAGGTGAGCACCATCTGTCACTGAAGAGGGTTAGAAAATTATTAGGGGGTGCTTATTGGTCTCTGCTCTCTAAGCTGATGCCATGTGTACTACTGGAGAATCTACTATCAGAGGCATTCCTGGGAAAATATCAGAAACAGTCAGGTAAGAGTACATTTAAGCTGGCCATACACTGTTCAACTGATGTATAAATCTTCATTAGATGGCACTGAGAAGCATAGACATTTTGTATGCTCCTTGGCTCCATCTAGTTGCGTGCAAACGGCATTCGCCCAGCTTTACACTGGGTGGAAGATTTATACATTAGCCCCTCTAGTTTTTCTCATTCAGCCCCGAGGGCTGAATGAAAAAAAACCTCTTGGTTCTCCCATGCACGCTAACAGCATGGATGGGGCGATCCCCCCACCAGCCTATTGTATTCTGACAGCGGCAGGGGTGCCACTGTAAAAAAAGCTGAACGGTGACTGCAGTTGATTGTCCAAAGGGGGCCATTTACTTCTTGAATTTCAAGCTGACTCGGTCGAACCTTCACCATTGTATGGCCAGCTTTAGTCCTTTTGACCTTGGGCACCCATATGTGACTTGATGTGTTGGCCTCCCTCATGTGTTAGAAGATTAGATACAGCACACTGATAAATGTATTCAGTCACTCCTTGCAATGCTTTAAAGAAATCTTACCACATCTTCTTCTGTCCATGAGCATATATCAAATGAGGGCAGCAGCTGCATGAGATGAGGAAAACAAGAACATCATGTTAGACATCACTATTAGGGGGGTGACATAGCATCTACCTTAAAAAAAAAAGAATAAAGTTTTATTTAGGTCAACTCCCTGCCAAATGATATTTCAGTTATGCATGGTTGCTTCTAAGTTAAATCAGGTGCTTACATTTAAGCAAGAGGTAATTTTCGCACTCTTGCTGTCAAAGTGCAATTCTGTCTTTGTTACCTTGCGGAATTGGGTAGAGACACAAACATACAGGTGCCCATTGAAAACGCAAACCAGTTATGGCTGTAGTGAGCTTTCACCTTTCCCTAATATAATTATACTTACTTTGTGAAGAATTGTGCTTTAAAGTGATATTACAGTCAACATTTTTCAAGCTATTTCAAATGCTGATGAAATCACTTACAATGGATGCTGCTCCTTCATGTTTAAAAGTTTAAGCTTCCTGCAGAATCAGCCAGTCCCCTGAACACTGGCCCTGATATCCTGTTTTAGGGTGGCTTCATTCCCTTGCAGGGTCCTATGGAGCCACCTTTGTGTGTGCTAGTAAGCTGTGTGTATCTCCACAAACACACAGGAACAACAAGGCAAGACACTCCCGTGCTTCCTGTTTCAAGCTAGTAGATGGAAACTGCTGGAGGCTGCTCTGTCCCATGTGATCTTGTACTGGACAAGAAATTCAGGGAAGTTGAGCTGAGAGAGTTGGAACTGTTTGAAAACATGGTGACTGTCAGTTCTTGGGCAAAAATATAAAGAAATACTTTGCTGGGCAATGTACAGTATATTTGTTTAATCTGGACTCGTTATTGGAAAAAAGATTGAGAGTTTAATACTACTTTAGTTTGTCTTTGCATATTTTTAGTGTTCTCGGTTTATTGTGGGAGATCACTTTCCTTTTATGTTCCATCAGAATCAGCGGACAATGGAGATAATATATCAGCCAGGAGACCATACCTCAAGATCCAATCTCATTGGGAGCCATGTGTTGTCCCTGTGCTCCAGGGTTTCCAAACCATTGGTATACTCACACACGTAAGTTATGTAGGTTCTGTGAATGTTTATATTCAGTGTTTCAACTCCATTTAGAATCTGTTTAACTTATAAAAAAACTAATAAAAACAAATAACTGAAGAACAACCCCAGGGAATAAGTGAAATCCTAATGATTTACAGGAAAAGCGGTAACTGTGCTAAAGTCAATAACTTTTATTCCATGATAAAATTCCCCACATATGATCCATTGCTACTCTAATTTTTGCTGTTGGGTGGGACATGAGCTCCTTGTTTTCGGATTTAGTGTAACTTACCTGTTTGTCCTTATAGGAGGAACAGCTAGGAGAACAGCATGTCTGTACCTGGCCTGCATATTCACATGGTTCACAACTTTGTGCTCCAGATTTCCACCAATAATGTAAATTCTAAAGCACAGTTTAGATTGTTCTTGTTCAGCACAGTTCATCTCAGTTTGCCCAAGCCCACTCAAAACTGTGACCGACATTCCTCTGTACTAGCCTAAACAGTGGTCACAGTTGCTGCAGGCACATTTCCCTGTCCCTTTATGACGTATAGCTGCGGGGTGGGGAATGTGGGCAACTGATTGACTCAAAAGAAGGGGGTGGCAGTCACAATTTAGAGCAGATTTGGGCAAATTAAGTCAAACTGGGTTCGCTCCAAGCCCAGGCTTCTCTCTTTTCGTTGGCATGTTTATATGAGAAAGAATGACACTTTCTAGTTGAAAGTACATAGGCAAACGACACACCCTCAATTATGCAAAACACAAATAATGAATATGCAAAAATGGACTGACTTTCACCACAACTTTTCTTTTATACTAAAAATGTAAACTAAATCATATAAAGGAATTGCATAAAAGAATAATTTGCATGGCTTCATCCTCTGTCTTGAAATGAGGATTCATCCTCTCACTTTTGGGATATGTGATGAAATGAGGCATGTGAATGAGGCATCCGTTCTAAGAAGGCATTTACTGTGCTATGCATTGGTTCTGTTGGAGGGCTTTTTGATTCCTCTTAGTCCCTTCTTAGCATAACCTGTATGGTTACACTGTCAAAATAACAAATACAATACTTAAGAAGTTGAATGAAAAGTGTACTGTAGGATAAAATTTTTGACAGTTAAATGCTACATTTGATATTGAGGTCATAGGGATTCAGTTCCAATGAAGGACAGTTGGAATCTATGCTGGGAGGTTATTACAACTCTGTTTTTCTAGACTTGTCTGTGTATGATACCATGCCAAGGCATATAAAACAAGGACATAGTGCTTCAAATTAAGGAAAAACAGAGTCATGTGAAATGTTTTCTAGCTGGGGAAATAATGACAAAAACATTTTTCAGAGAAATTAATTTTTTGTTTTTTACTTTCAATTTTTGTATCTTGAGTATAAAGAGCAAAATCAGAAGAAAAATGAGACATGCAAATTTTCTAGCAAAGGAAAGACAAGGCCAAGTTCACTGGAGAAATACATTATCCTCCCTGGTCCTGATGTCCTCGCCTGGGGGGGTCAACACTTATCCACACGTGCCTGAACCGCTAAGGTCCCCTGTTATTCCCAAGAATTGCTTTTTACTATGATTATCCAATTATGCATTCAGAAAAATAAAACACAGATTTGTGATCGCTGTCATTCCTATCAGCAGTGATAGATTTCCATTAAGTGGCGGTTAAAAATATATGGACGGTGCATCTTTGCATGACATAAGTAGACGCATATGCTAAAAGCCGCGTGTTCAAAGTCAGTATCACGTCCGTGTTGCCACTCACTTCTAATTGCATGTAGATATCTAATAGCAAGAAATGTAACACTGAGGTCACATTTATCGGTTCTAATGGTTATCATTAAGCTAATATTATTTTTACTGTGGCCATCGAGGCCGATTTAATGGAAATTGAGGCTTCGTGGAAATGTCCAACTACGTATCAAGGAGCAGGGATGGGGGGAGGGGGGGGGAGCAAAAAAAAAAGAGAGCTCAACAATATAAAGATGACATATTTAAAAAGAACTCCAGCAAGTGCCAACACACCCAATAGAACAAAAGTCCTCAAATGCACTTGTGAATCAATTCCAAACCTTTCCGATCCAAAACCTTCACCTTACAGAAATCATTTTTTTTTTTTTACTAGAGAGAGAGACAAGTCAATGTTTTCCTGTGATTTCAGCTGCTTTTCCTACAGAATGTATTTGGTGCGTAATTATTCCTCTTATAAAGCCGTTGACCAGCCACAATCCACAGATAATGCAAATCTGCTGCTTCATATTGACTCTCCATTTACATAGTTACATAGTATTTGAGGTTGAATAAAGACATTAGTCCATCAAGTCCAACCTATTAGGATCTCATTCTAGGAGTACCCGTACCCCTGTATATTACGGTCCCTTAAGAAATCGTCCAAAAGTTTCTTGAACAATTCCACATTATTTGCTACACTTGGTTTTGCCAAGTGAGGTGTGTGCCTGAGTTACTGTTCAGTGTTTGAGGCTGATAAAATGGTGAGTCAGGGATCACAATCTCAACAAACACTTGTCAATCATTCTGAAAAGGAAGGGACTTCTAACAATACCTGCCACATGCCAGAAACTTTGTTTATTTGCATATTATTTAGTGAGGGATATGAATAAAAAAAAGTAAATTAAACCATATATATCAGTTGTTGCTAAAGAAGATCTAAACCCAATCATTAAAATCTCATAAAAGGTTTAATAAGTTAAAAGGAGCTGCAAAAGTGTATTCGTTCTGTTTACATATACAGCTTTCATTTCAACAATACCTGGTAATCTTGCTATGTAGGACCTTCTTCAGGCATTTCCTTTTATGGGGTGAAATCCCACAATCATGCTTCTGGGTTGTCACCTGTCACCTCCTGGCTCAAACTACAAGCGGCCACACAGACACACATTGCGCAGGCATGGGGCACCATTGTCACCAATTATAAGCCGGCCCAGAGCAATGATGTGCAGCTGACGCTGGAGCGGGTGCATTTAGACAGGAAGTGACTGAGAGAAGTTGGAGAAGATGTCAAAAAGCGTTTTTGTATGAAAAAAACCTTTGCGTTTGTTTATTATACACCGTGCTTTAGCAAACTACATGCCCTTTAGTTAGGGCTTAGCCAAACTTTACATTTTAGGTAAACCCTAGCAATTAAAATAGTACTAAAGCTAGGCATTTTCTGCATTAAGGTAAAAAACGTGCAGTATATTTGCATGCTCCCCTGTCCCCAAACACTTACCTATCGTCCCTTGTCACCTCCACTGGGACCAGGAAGATATCTGCCATTCCCCAAATTTTCTGTTTGTGGGTACTGATGGCAGTGGATGGATAGGCTCCTGCTGCGTCAGTCAAACTGTTGCTATGAGAGCAGGGGCGTGGTTTCCTGCACGATTTGTGTGTCTATGAATGTGCACAGCTAGGCACGGGTCACAGACGGGATTGCCCACACATGGGTGTCTCGTCAGCAACTGACTAGATGAAGGAGGGGGAGCTCCTCATCTTAAAATATAAAAAACAACAGCAACGTTTTAATGTCACATTAACTTCTCTTATTTGCTCCCTTTTGGTCTTTTTAGTATACCATTAAATGTATTTTTATCTGTTTTATAAGAACAAGAAAATACCTGTTGATCCTGCCAGAAATCCAGTGAGCCAGCATCACTGCATGTGCTGCATTGTTATCAGTTCCCAGTTCTCTCTGTAGACTACAGTCCCCTGCCTTCCTATGTTGGAGATATGGACAGTGGGAGGTGTTCTGCATTCTTAACATTGTCACTTTAGGACAGGAAGCGTGTTATTCACGGCTTTACCAGGTGAAATAGTGGAGAAAAGTCTGAAAAAGGAAAACTAATGCAGCCACTTCATCTAAGGACTGGTAAACTGCAATATATTCCATTTTAGTTCTTGGTTTTATACATACTTTACGGCTCCTTTCACACGGGCTGATCAGGAAGGGATCCATGCATCAGTAGTACGGATTGGATGTC